ACTGGATTTCAATATCAAGGAAGAACTCAAATCATTAATAAGAAACAAGAACAAATTTCTCTCTTCTTCTTTTTTTCCCCTCTTTAGTTCTGAAGACATGCATGTTGTACGTAATAATCACATTCAGATCAGAAATAAAGATATATAGAACCATCCATACCTAAGAAATCAGTGTTTTTGAGACCTTTAGCACCCACCAGCTTCACCTCCATTATTCCAATCACCATCTCTTCTCTCTTTCTGTCTCAAAAAGAAGAAGTTTTCAAATCTCTGTGTGTCGAAAACTTATGATACAAAAAAGGAGAATATTTAGAGTTGTCAATTGTTCGAAAGATTCAAATTAATGTGTTGTAATTTATGATGGGATACTTCATTTTATAGGCATGCAATACGTACCGCGGCATAATTAATTATCATATAAAAAGTTGAATGATATCTTTATTTCTTTTCGTAGGTTGGATAGAAATAAGAGTTTGGTGAGATAGATAGTATTGAATGATAGGGTAAACTTTTATTTATTATACATCAATGTTGATGCATTTTAATTTCATTATAAGTTAATAATGTAGCATAAATGAGCGGTCAAAAATTGAGTAGTAGTTGTGGATGCATGCAAGATTAAGGGCCCGTTTGGTTTAGCTTTTACTTTTGTTTTTATTTATTGTAGAAGAGCTTTTGAATAAATCTATCATAATTTTTGTTTGTAAATTAATATTTAAAAACACTTTTCATTCCGGAAGTACTCTTAGAAGAAGTCAGATTGAACCAACTTTCATTAAATTTTTTTTTAACAAAATTAACCAAACGAGTCCAAAAACAACTTTTGAGTCTAATTTATATATATATTTCATATTATTTTATTGTATTTTCTATTAAGCCCTTTAATTTATGTAATTTGACTTCCTCAAAAGATTCCCCAATTACCTTCCGGATTTTCCTTATATTTATTTAATCCGCCGGGAATAATTGACCCAAAAAAGGTTACCATGTGCGAAATCGATGATATTTTATTTTCAATTGCAACGTAATTAACAAGAAAGGCAATGTGGTAACATCTAAAGAATAATAGGCTAATGATAATTGACCTACTCTTTACAAAAAGTATAGTTTGACCCCCAATCGAATTCTAATCATCTTACATTGAAATTAATTGATGTCCAATGAACGCATGCTATAATTTTATGATAATTGATCGTCATCATTTGAGTAATCTAACTCATGAATTTAAAAGCGACATTGTTGTCCCCACACTTATTCAACTTCTAATTTAGCAATGTAATTTGGTAAGTTAATTAGTTGAAAGGTTAATAAACAAATAATATTCAAAAAGTCATCTTGCAGAATTTGTGTTATTTTATTCTTCGAAATACGTTTCGTTACCTGCTTCCATTGACTGTCTACAATATGTTGGTCTAACAAACTGGCCATGAATACCTTCTTCAGGAATTTCATAAACAAAGCTCCAAACTGACCCTTCACAAGTTGCAGATAAAGAATCCCATAACAACAAACCAAACTAGAATTCAACGTTCATATATAGCCATCACACGTACCAAACAAACGTAATTAAAGGGGGGGGGGGGGGGGGGTGGAGATAATGGAGCTGTTAGGTGTCAAAGTTGACTATGACAGCCGACCGCTGACTGGCCCAGTCCGTGGGTTAAGCCATGCCACCTTCCAAGAGGTGTCGACTTTTTTTGACAACCCATACCACAGGTCCGAGCCATGGATGAAGTGTCAAAAGTCGACTATGGCTTAGTTTGAAGGCCTGACTGCCGCACCGGCCCTGGTCCAGGTCCAAGCAACGCAGCCATAAACATCATGGTCCAGCAGAAGATACAAGAGCTAAAATAAAATGTGCCACCAGTTTTGTTCTTACCAAGTTCTCAGCAACACAATTGTCACTAGGATTATTATATAAATGTGCAAAATTTCCGATAGAGGTATGAACACCATTTCCTCTACTACAGAGTTCCTCCACATTGCTCTTAGAAAGTTTGAGGAGAAAAGTTAATACGAAATCGGGGAACAAAAACAAAGTAAAAGAAACTTCTAACACATTTAAGGCTGAGTTTTCATTTTTGTTTGATAACAGGACTGATATTATTTCTTCTCTAAATTTTCTGATTGTGGACACCCGCAATCAGTGGATGGCATCCACTTGCAAGCTGAAGGAGAAGGGTAATCAGAAACGCTAATCCGAAATGTTTGTTGCTTCTCTTCATTTCCGGGGACATGGAGTAGAGCTTCCATAATGAGGATTTCCCAGTTATGAGGCCGTAAAAATGAAAACCAAGCACCCTCTGTTCGAAAGAAAGAGTCATTTAACTTTAAATAAACTAGAAATAAAATGAAGCACGATCCAATAAACATTTGAAAAGTTAAAATTTTTCATAAATCCTAGTCCCCAAATCGATAGATTTCCAGCAGATTGTGACATGGATCACAAAGCACTAAAGAACTTCAGGGGACTGAGAGGGTTCGACTGATCAAGTTAACATTTTAGAATGAGTAGAACGAACCTCCATTACGAACTGCTTTCAACTGAAATATTCCTGTGCCTTGTGGTCCAGAAACAGGAAATGTGCATGATACAGAATGGCGTTTGTGAGCTACTGCTAGTGATGCATTGTACCAAGGACCTCTTGCAATAGGCTCACCAATGGCATCAATTATTGCCTGGTTCTTACTGGCTTTCTCCATTGCCTTGCTGCAATAGATCAAAATCATTCAAAATAGAACCATAAAACTTTACTGAAAACATGCTGAAAGAAATGACCCAAAAAAAATTTCAATGTTCTTTCTATCTACCTAAAGTATGAAGTTGTGATCATATATTAATTTCTCGCAACTCACACATTTGTAGAATATGATCAGAGCAAAAGGAGAGAGAGAAATTAAATGTCATCGTATTTCACTGCCCTCTGGCTATGATAAGCTATGTTTCTTTTTTTAAATTCCTAAACCATATTCAATTTAGTCCAAATTCTCAAAATAATAGAGCAGTGAAAATCAACAAATTTTGACCACGACACATGAGAATGCTCAATACAACAGCAATGAATCGTTTGATTGATGGCATGCCATACATTGAAGAATAAATAAACTAGCTTCTCAGGCTTAACATGCACATTTCCTTGCTATTCACCAATCAAGTTTATAAGTGTAAATAATGTCAAAAGTCTAGGTTTATGGTTATATCTAGTCACTGAGTGCAAATATTTTTAAAGCTTGTATTCATGTCCTAGTCAGCCACTCCATGCACGCCCTAGATTGAATCCCCCCTATGTACTACCAAAAAGGGGATTCCAACCGACTATGAGCTCATTTTCCCAAAGATCACCAAATTAATAGCAAATGTACAACTATTCTAATTAGAAATTCAAGTGCTTCTGTTGCATATAACATTAATCCCATAGCAGATCTGCTTTCAACATTGTTCATGGAAAGTCATGGGATGAATACATGAACTAAATATAAGGCTCTATTTGTTTCGAGGACGAGGAAAGGAAAGGATAGGAAAGGAAATGATAAGACATGAGAGAAATGGAAGGGAACTAATGGACTATAAGAATAAGAGACAATAAAAGATATTGAGCGTTCCTTTTGTCCCTCTACTTATCACAGGCAAAACGTGTAAGTTCTTTATTCCCAACCCTTCCCTTCCATTCAAGACAAACATTAATAAATTTCTTCTTGAAGGAAGTACAGTCCCGTCTTCAGGACTTTGGATATAATAACAAGTGAAGTAAAAGAAAAATGATTCAAACTGTTTTGTAGCATAAGGGGCACATCAGAAGAGATACTTAGATTTCATGCGTCATATATGCATTTTACCTCTAAATCTTGTTGATGTAAATCGAAATACAAAAAATGGAAAGGATGTATGTATCATTTCCCCTTAGTTTTTCCATCAAGCTATGAGCGCTCAGGCTAAGATTATTTAGAAATAAGTAGATTACTTATTCCAGTAAAGTAAGAGTTACTTTAAAAAAGAGTAAGTAACAAAAAAAGGTAAGTTCTCTAACATGTTTGGAGACAAAAAGTTATAAGTAATTTCATATTAGAGATGGGTTTTGCAATTTAGTAAGGAGGGTTGATATTTAGCTGTCTTCACTTCCCCTTGCTGTTCCTAGCAAACAAGAGATGTGTGATCCTTTAACTCTGTTACTAATCTAACAGCTCTTTTCACTCTTGCATCTGAAGAAAATGCACAAATTAGCTGGTAAAAACCGACTCATTCAAAGGAAGAATCTCTTCTTTACAGTTTCATTTCGAAATGTCTTTCAAAGTAACGTGTATGCATGTCAGCTCACGAAATGATTTTTAGAACTAATTAGTACTCCAACATTAAATCAAATAATAGAATTACGAAACATATATTTCACCACTACAACAAAAGAAGGGCACTGGTTGGATTCTCATAATGTATTTCCAATCTATGCTGATGCTTAATATAGCAGAATAAGAACTGTAGAGTCCTAACCAGTCTAATCTAATAATGACACTTCAAAATACAGAGTTGATTGATAAGTGTAATAGTCATGATGTTAATTCGATTCGCACTAGTTACTTCATTCTTCAAAATATCCCTAACTTTTAAAAAAGCCACTTCATAATACTGAGTTGAATGAAAAGTCTAATTTCATTTTTTTTTTTTTTTGATCGGTAAAAGAAAAATGTCTAATTTCATTTTTATTTCATTCACTTGTCACTTCACTCTACAAAATATCCCCAAATTTTTAACCATAATTCATTGAGTGCTCTTTATAAATTTCAATGGAAAGTGTATAAAAATCAACAAAACATCACAAAATCTCAGTTATATGAAAGTTGAATCAATCATTAACCAGACAACCGAATAACATCTTCCTACGATAATTTTGACTTTTCCCTTCTAAACCGAATTTAGAGGAAAACGATGAAATAGAAAGAAATGTAGATTACAAAAATCACTCTATTTCATAAAGAGCATAACCTGCTACAGCCATGGTAAATGGCGAGATCATCAAGTGCACTCAAAGCGACGCCTCCTGTCAAACAAATTAATGCCCCTGAAACCACTTTAAAACCCCATGATTTTGTTTTTCCTTCTTCTGCCGCCTTGGCCTGTGCTAGTAGTGACGGTGCCGCGGCGGCTCTGCTCTTCAGCAGTGACATGATCCTTCGACCCATCATCCCTTTGCCCCTTCTCTCTGTGCACGGGAAGAGACGGGAAGATAGTCGCACTGAGGGAGGAAAAATGGACCTTCGCGTAATTAGGCCATTAACTTGAACCCGCAAGAACCATTTCTAAGTCCATTCTGGCCCAAGTTAGTGGGGAAGTGGGTCCGGCCACGTTTGGTTTGGCCTAATTTTAGGAAATGAATTAGATTAGTTGTACATTATTTGTGTACAACTTGTATAATATTTGAATATGTGGCAAAATCAAGATCCTTCATTATTTTAAGTGTTGAAGAAATTAATGGTAAAATAGTGTGCCACATTGTACAATGTAAAGCAGAATATCAATTAGAATGACGTGTAGCAACATTATTAGGAAATTACGCCAATGACTTGTACTGTTTCCAAAATTTGTGTCCAACAAAAGAATAACGATATTTAGCGTCACAGGTGCTCGAACACTAGCCTATGTGACATTATACGATAGGTTTAATTAAAGGTGAAATTATATTATTCATTTAATTGCACATTTTATTTAATGACACCTAGAGCATGTTAACACAATTGGTGCTAAAAAAAAATTACTCAATAAAATATCGATTTTGTGATGGTCGGTAACTAGATTAATTTACAAATTCAAGTAAAATGCACCGTTTGCACTTGTCAAGTCGTTTTTGTTATTTAACGTGAACGTCTGTTTTACGTCACTTAGTTGAGTTTCCAACCTAGTCGAAATGTAACAAGCACGTCCCCTAATCAATTTTTGACGGGGGGCACACCAACTTTTTCACTTCGTAACAATCAGAACCAGTCTGTTTTTGTTAATCACTCCATGGTCTCACTTGTTATACTGAAATTACGTCACTAGTTTAAAATTGGAAGAAAAAATGTTTCAAGAAAAATAATATGGTTGACTGTTTTAATGAAATTACAATATCAATATCTAATTACAAAACTTAGAGAACAGAATTACTATCTATACAGAACTTCACAAAGTGATGGTACAAGCAAATAAATCCCCCCAGTTATTTATGATCTCCTCGCGCCACCTATACATTCTGTCTGTCTTCTAAACTCATGAATTGTATCCCATTTGAATTCTTCCTTTCCCATTCAAGCAGCAACAACTGGGGTAGCAGATGGTCTTGGATACGAAGCAGCCATACGAGATTCGGCGCATGTCAGAATATGATTTTGGACAACCTCGGTTTTGACACTACCCGTGTCCTGGAGCTGCTCCAATGCTTTTACAACCTCTTCCATGTTCGGCCTGTATTTGGGTTCTAGTGCTAGGCATTTGACAGCAAGAGTAGCTGCCTTCAATGCTCCGGTTGGTGAGTATTGGCCTTCTATACGGGCATCCATAACTCGGAATATTCTTCGTTTGCTGGCCAGATAAGGGCGAGCCCATTCAATAAGATTTTGTTCCCCGTGAGGTCGATTTTTGTCTATTACACGACGTCCAGTTAGCATCTCAAGAAGAACAACTCCAAAACTGTACACGTCGCTTCTGGCAGTTAAATGACCTTCAAAACAAATGAACCGAGGATCAGAAGGAATGAGAAGTTGCAGTTGCAGGGACTCAACTTAAAACACATTAAATCGTATTCTTGTTCCATCATGTCAACTGTAATTACACTTATGTGAAACTTTTTTGGTGAATTAGGTCTAAGCTGACCTTGTTAAGCACACGTCCGTGAATACTTGACGAAATTCAATCAATATCCACCTAAAATAATTGGAAAGAGTATTACAGAATGAAAATTAGTGAAGAGTGTAATACCTGTGGCCATGTACTCTGGAGCTGCATAGCCAAAGGTACCCATTACTCTTGTAGATACATAGCTTTTACCGTCCATTGGTCCGTCCTTGGCCAACCCAAAATCAGATAGCTTCGCATTGTAGTTCTGTCAAATCCATCGGTTAAAGGTTGTAAGACACCCAACANCGTCCTTGGCCAACCCAAAATCAGATAGCTTCGCATTGTAGTTCTGTCAAATCCATCGGTTAAAGGTTGTAAGACACCCAACACGGAAACAGTAATACAATCAAATTGTATAAACTTTTGAAAATTGATTTATTATTTTTCCACGTACCTTATCGAGCAAGATGTTGGAGGTTTTGAAGTCACGATATATAACCTTAGCTTCCGGGCTGTGAAGATACGCAAGCCCCTTTGCTGCACCTAGAGCAACCTTCATACGTAGGTTCCAAGATAACGGTTGGAAGTAAGATGACCCTGTTCAAAATACACTTACTAGGCTGAGTCTGTGTGAAAAATTGAAGTTCCTTTCTGTGAAAATGAAGAACTCCATAGATAAGATCAATAACTCACTCCTGAATAGATGATTCTCCAAGCTGCCACGAGGCATGAACTCGTAAACGAGAAGCCTGTGTTCATCCTCTAAGCAATAACCAATCAACTTTACTAGATTAGGATGGTATAACTGCCCCAGATAATTGATTTCTGTCTGAATCCAGATAAAAGATAAATAAATCAGCATATCCGGATTTTGGTTTGAATTCTATCAAATTTGAGCATCTTTGACAGCATAAATGATCAGGAATGGGTCTATAGTCGATAATTTATGACAAACACAATCAACAACAAACAAGAGCATCTTTGGTTGTGCTTAAAAGTAACTTCTAATTGCAGCCTAACATGCTCTGAGCCTAATTGCCAAGAAATTTTGGGTCCAACCGTATGAATCCTTTTTCTCCATTTTGTTCAGTTCATTGCTTCATCTACTACACTCTCTCTAAGCTAACAAAATCAGTGGAAATTATTCAATGAACAAAATTAAAACATTTAACCACTCGAACCAGGAAAGGTCAGACTCACCAGCCACTCCTTGTGACCTTGAAGGCCTTCTTGGTTCAATCGTTTGACAGCAATAACCATTCCAGTCCCAGGTTTCGCAGCTTTAAATGTATGTTCATCAATCCATCCCTTAAAAACACACCCAAAACCACCTTCACCTAATACACTGTCCGGACGGAAGTTCCGCGTGGCTGTTCTCAGATCAATAAACGCAAAAGTCTTCAAACTCGAAGATTCCAAAATTTCACCCTGACTTCGAGGGGTCAATGGAATCGCGTTCGATGACCTGCTACTTGTGTCTTTCGTATCAACGCTGACATATCTTGAATTTGATCCTACAAATACAATCATTCCACATATCACGAACTCCATTAAATGCCTAGTAATGGTGAATCAAAAGGAAAATTTCAAATTACGATTTGGTATTCTAAATAAATCCACCGATTCGTCCATAGTCCGATCTAAGCCCCAGTTAAAAAGGAGTATCTCTTAGGTCGATAGCTGATTTAAAACTTTGTCAAATCTTATGGCATAAACCCTAATGTACAACAAATGTATCCTAGACAAAAATCACATAATCCAAATATAATCTCTAAGTAACACAAATCATAAACAAAAATTAGTTTTAACCAAATCAAAACAGCGATTTTTAGGTATGGATGCTTCTAATTCAAGAAAAACTAGAATCTGATCAAAGAAATTTAACAGTTTGATTATACTAACCATTATGACGAGGGCTATCTGCCCTTATTCTAACACTGAAACAAGAACCCATTTACTGAACCCACCAATTTGTTTATCTGAGAAAACCCTTCTACTGTTCCTCAACAATAGAAGAAGACTGAGAATCCAATTGCTCAACCCACGAACTCTTTCGACGACTGTCCAAAAATTCAACAACAGCCGAACCAGTTGAAACCCAAAAGTATGAACACATAAAATATATTTATAATAAGAAGATTTATGATAATACGTTGATTCTTGGTGTCCCTTGTTGGCTTCAAGAGAAGCTATATGAAAATAAAAAAGAAGTCCCAAAAGGGTTTACTCTTTCTTGTTTGTTCCTCCTACTAGTCAGTCTACGCTTTCTGCAACTTATTTACATTCACATTTATACATAATAAATGTTGGAGGAGACATGGTGTGGTTGGTGTAAATGGAGGGAGGGCCATTACAGGCTTGTCTTGTCTTTTATTTTTCGCACCTTCCACAAGAAAGACAGACGTGCATTTATGGCCATTGGATCAGTATGAACACAAGTCAACGGATCATGCTGTCAGTTCTGAATATTCTGATTTATCATGTTAATAACTTAATTACGCATTCATGTTGGCTTAATGATTATTTAAAAGCCGGTGTTTGAGTTAGATGCTGATAATTAGTCATTATCAATTAAGCTTAAAGTCGTTGATATTGAGGAGGTGGCACATCTTTTCCACCGTGTTTACCAATTACAGCCCAGAAAGGCATATTTCAGAAAATAACGGAGTCTCAGTTCGTAGTCCCAAAAAAATATATATTTTGAATAGAAATTTTTAGAAGAATGTGTGATTAAAAAAATAAAAATTTTTTTTAAGTTATATGTAAAATATTTTACAGTGTAAATAACGATTGTCGGAAACTAAAATAAAGCTCAAACATAATTATTTGGAATATTTTTCTTGGACAAGTCGCTGTCCAAACAAGGACCGACGTACCTATCCAAAGGGGGCCGACGTGACTGAGGTCTGTCCATATAGCAAAGCCCTAATTATTTAGGCGTATCATGGACCTCCGAATTTGGTAGGTCAACTGTCAATATATTTCAATTCCTTTTTCATCTACATATATATTACCTACATCCTTGGCACCACGTTAGACTGAATGAAACTATGGCTATGATGGGTTGCAATGGTCCTATGTACTCCAACACTCAAATAAGACGAAAAATGATAAATTTGAGTATGAAATAAACACAGTGGACAAAAATATGGGTGACGAGTTGAAAAGAGAATTATCAAGATTGCAATTCAAGAATACCATTAACATTATTTTTGAACGAGAGAGAGAATCAAGTATTTATACGTAGGAGACATTAATCGGAATGTTTGACACGACTTCATCATAATGATTAACTTACCAAGCATAATTGTATCAATTCATAGGTGTCATATATACCTTTGGGCTCCATAGCCTAAATATAGATTGAAATTTTGTGATCTCAAAGGACTCGTTTGTAGAGTAGTCACGTCAATCACTTCGTATAACTTGGTCTAGGAGAAGCTTGTGGCAGATGCTAATCGCCTCTAATGTGCATTGCAACGAAGAGGTGATGTATTGCCTCAAATAACTCGTTCCCAAGTAGTCGTCTAAAGACATGGTCTAACCAGCTCAAAAAAGGCATGTGTAAGAGGTGGTGCATAAATGGAGTGCTGAAGTTGACCTAACTTTTTATTTAACGTCTTGTCACATAGCATGCCTTATATATAAAATAGTAAGACGTACGATAAGAATTTTTTATTGTAATCAAAACAAAGGGGGTGAGTCCCCCAGTTGGATCTCAAAATTGCAATGGCTCATGACTTAAAGAATTGTACCGTGATAGAGGGCAAGATGATCATGAAAATACCAATTGAGAGGGACCTACGATTAATACTGTAGTTTAATATAAAATTATTGGAAAAACAATTAATTTGGCTTAATGATTATTCTAATGCCGACTTGTTGAGTTAGATGATAATAATTAATTAATTAATTAATCAATCTAATAGGCAATTGGTATTAATGAAGATGGCAGAGCTTTTACTCAATGTTTACTAATTACAACCAAGGGTTCCTTTCAAGAAATGTACGGAATTTTGGCGTATTAGTCAAGAAATGTGGCGCTTGTTTTAGTTTTTTCCCTGCTTTTACCTAAACCATGACGATCGGTTTTGTCAATATAATTATTCATATGTATGACAATAATAAACTTGCTTTCATTTTCATCCAAACTAAAAAAGATATAATTAATTTAATTGGAACAATAAATTTTACTTACATTTTTAATATATACCTACATTGAATAATGATTTAAATAAAGATCCGTTTAATTGCAAGAATAGAATTTGGATGGGAAAAAAACGAATTCAAAGAAATTGAATTTCTTATAACTTGTTTTACTAAAAATTATCAATTAAGTGTTTGTTTGTGTTTTATTATTTGTAAGTAATGTATTATGGAATAGTGATTGATATTGAAATATATAGTTAAAAAAGAAGAAAAGATTTTTTATTTACTTGTAATATTATTTTAATAAAAAATATATGGTTGAAAATGAGTATTGTAGAAAAAATAATGTGGTAGAATGAGACGCAAACAAAGCCTAAATATGTTTTAATTAGTATAATTTTTCCACCTGAAAAATATTGAATTTTTTTTATCTTTTGGTGTTCGCTTGACTTCATTTTCCCTGAAAATTTTCAATTAAAGGGATATAATTTGTTTCCATAGCAAAACATAAAAAATAATAAAACATAAAAAATAATTAAAATTCCACAAAAACCAAGGGAAAAGGGGTCACTTGGAGGGGGGAGGAAAAATCAATTGCCAAGAAAATTATACCAATCAAACAAGGAAAAATGTGAAAATTTTTCCATTTTCCATGGAAAAATTGCTGTATCAAATTGGGACTAAGAGTAATTCATATTTATTGATAACAAAATATATTAAATAGGGATATATTAAATAATGAAGAAATCAAGTATACTCTCGACAAATTAAAAAATAGAAAGTAAGCTTCTCTTTATGAGACTGATGAAATATAAATTATAAACTTATATAGATATTTTCATTCGTAAAAATTTTATTCCTTTGAAGGGTCAATTAATTTTCATAATTAGTGTCCCGAAAATTTGAACGGTTACTTTTGTCCAACCTAATGCTACATCGAAAGAGAATATATTCTCATTATTTGATACATCTGTGATGTGAATCTTTTGACAGATAATTTCATTAAAAAAGTATGTTGAGAATAATATTTAATTATTATTATTGTTATTATTATCATAGTTCCAAAGTTTCTTATAGATAAGAATCGAAAGACAAGAAAAGTTGAAGGCGGAAACCTTTTGTGTAAGGTTTTGATCCACCTATGATATTGGAGGGTCCATTGACAAAGCCATCACTTGGCTTTACAAAGAAAAAAAAGTAATTTTCGTGTCGGATAACCATTCCTTTTGCACCTTTGTTTGCTTCTTAAATTGAAAAATAAGTGCACTTTTTGTTATTTTGCAATTTGCACTAAGTTGAATTTTGTGCCTTCGTGTCTCTAACTAGAAAGTTCGTTTTGTTATAAATATGAGACAAACTTAGGTGGTGTCCACTTCAACAAGAAATTGCAATTGAGATACGGAAGCCCTTGTTTGAGCCTCATTCTCGACAAAAAAAATACATTTTTGAGTAGTGTATTGAAAGGAAATATATGGTTAGAAAAATAAAGAAAGTTTTGAATTTACGTATAATGTTATTCTAATGAAAATTATGTGATTAAAATGAAGTCAAATCACTGTTGAAACATTTTTAATTTCTTATTCCGTTTTCATTATTTTTAGGTGTCATTCATGTGTCTTATCAAATGCAGCATTGTAACTTTCTTATGTGTTATAATTAATTCTATATAGAAAAAGGGCTAGGGTTAATTTTTTTTTTCTTTAACCATGTTCATTTGTTGACGTCCATTCAATTCAACATATCATGTCATCGTTACGTGTTTAGGGGTTGTTTGCCCAAGTTTTTTTTTAATCAAAGTTATAACACATTTTTATAAAAGTTAATGAAATGTACTATTAAAAAGTTGATGAAACTTGTTGATCCTCGAAATATGTGGTTAAAATTAAAGTTTAACCAGTTGAAATATTGATAAAATTTTAACAATTTTATTGTCAAACAAGCACATAATATATCGAATTGGATAGCAAGTGACAGTTAGTAAAGAATAGAGATGTCTAAATTATTTGCCTATTATCGTGTTCAACATTTGGCACTTCAATTTATTGAGAATAATTCTAGTTGTACATAATTTATTGTACCTAAGGGCGTCCATCCTTTCACATGGATGGACTCCACTCGAATATTTTATTCATGCAGGTCTCATCCCATATCAGAGGTTGGACACCCTTAAGTGCAATAAACTATGTACCAATAGCTTGATTGATTATCATCGCGATATCTTTGATACACTATCTCAACAAAATTAAGAGTTAAGAGATTTTTAACTAATCAAGATCTATCTAATGTATCAAAAATATATACGTAAACGAGCATTTAAAAAAATTTAATAATAAAATAACTAGTATAAATCAAAAGGCAAAAAGTAACCAACATACCTATTGGAAAATAAAATGAGTTGGTTCTTAATTTTATTTTATTTTATTTTGATTTAGAGTGAATACTATACTAGATTGGGAAAGTAGGTGGGATATTGCTAAAATAAATTAAACAAACAAGTACCAAGAAAAACACAACCGAATAAAGAGAAGCAAGGAAAAAAAAAAAAAGGTCATCAAAATGTGAAAGCCAGACGAGGATTGCTTGTGAAAACATGACTTTTCTACCCCAATTAGGCTTTGATTTGGGAAGAAGGCTCTATAGTCATCAAAACGCCCACAATCTGTTAGGCGTTAATTTGACTCTTTTTGCTGAATAATATTCGTTTGTGACTCTGTCCTTCAAAAAGCATGGCAATGGCATTTAATTTGGGAGTATCTCATCTTCTAAAGGCTTAGAAAGTTCAAAAATCAGAGCATGAACTTGACTCTTGAGTGGGAAGAATTTGGGCTTTCACATGCATCTAATTTAATTATTATCCATGAACGGAATAGCAAAAATAAAAAATGTGAAAGCGTGACTTTATTTGGATGGAACTATGTGGTCTAGAGAATTTGGAAAATAGGCATATTTATCGATGAGGGATGAACATAGATCCCCCAGTTTCATACCGATAAGTTGTTTGTGTAATGTTTGAATTAGTCCTGGCTCTCGGAACTAGGCACTAGAGAAACAGTCTCAATGACAGATTTTAAACCTAAGAACACGACAAATTTCGATTAAAAGTTAAAAAATAAATAAAACATTAGCAATCAAGGGCCGACATTTCAGCCCCCTAGAACATGCTCCTGTCACTTGAGCTGCAGACTACTTGCCACGTGCGGGCCTGGATGTACAAACAATATGCGAATAACAGTGAATTTTTTATATTTTTTTTTTCAAGAAAGTGATTTAATTTGAAAAATGTATAATTAAAAATGAATGATTAATACGAGTCATACTCAAACCATCATTTTCAGCTAGAAAGTTTCTAGATGATACAACGACACCATTACAAGATTTTGCTTTCTTTAGATTTAATGCACTTCTCTAGAAGCACACCCCTTGAATTCCCAACCACATAATCCAAATTGGCACGTGATTGAAGACTTTTTTGCCTCAATTGGCCCACTTGTTTTAACAGATTATACAGTATTAAAACAAGAAAAAGAAAATGATTAAAATGTAATATAATACACCTACCATGTTCATGCATCCTTTGAATTTATCTTCTTGGAACAACTGGACGCTGTAAGCATTAATTTTCTGGAAGGATTTTGTGACCCGCACAAGAGACCTCGTAAGATTGGTTCTGCCTCAAATGATGTGATCAAGGAGGTTAGAAGTTAGAACATTAAAAGGAAGCTTCGAATTTTGGTCCCATTACAAAACACCAGAAACTTCATCTCTAGAAAGACTGCCTTGTTTTTGTGTTTATTTCAAATATCCAATAGCAGTGCAGGCAAATCTTTCCATCAAAGGGTTCGACACACATCTAAGCGAAGTTCCAAATAGATACTTATGGATCCTTTTATCAAGAAAATACTCACAATTTACGAGTAGATACGATTTAGCGTATATTTATTTAAACAACAAAGGCAACTTCAGTGCAGTCGAAAGTATAAATGCACAAGTTAATCCAGGTAAAGCCCGGATAGAGGTTATTATAACTCCCCTTGCAAAAGCCTCAAAAAATTCACCACACGAGTGATACTGAACTCAAGCACTTTTCTTCACCTCGGCAGACTTGATAATGTCGATGAATTCAGGCTGCAGAAAGAAGTAATTAACAGTTAACATCATCTTTGGTACATAAAATTTTCAATCTCTAACAACTAAAAAGTAGCCGTCATTACCTTGAGAGAAGCACCACCAACTAAAAAGCCATCAACATCAGGATTTGCAGCCAATTCCTTGCAGTTGGCACCATTCACGGAACCTGCATCGGCAATTTATTTAGAGTAAGCTGTAAAATAAATAAAACATATAGGGAAAAGACGAGTTTGTTATACAATTTAACCGGGGCATCACAACAGTTCTTGCACCTTAAAGGTGGGTTATCATGCAATTTAAGACTGCGGATCAGAGATAGAAGGTTGGCTTCTATTCACGAAACCCTTCTATAGAGATGTTAATTAATTTTGAGAAAGTAATAGTAGAGGTCCATATCTTACAATTGATGTAGTAATATTTTAGTTTTTTTTATCTTTTTCAGTACTAATAAAGCTATAATGGGCTTTACAATCAAACATTGACTTCTTAATGGTTAAATGGATGGAATCGTTGGCAACACTGACTCGTCACAGACTTATAAGGTTGAGAACCCTTAATTGTATTATTTTCCAAGAAAGTGTAGTTTCTCTAGTATCTTTCAGTTTCAAGGTTAAAATTGAAAGGTTCCAAAATCTTCTTATTGACATGTGAAAACTAATAAAGCTAGCCAGAGACGTAAATGGAACAATACCTCCATAGATAATCCTGGTTGAAGCAGCAACTTCAGGGCTAACATTCGCATGAAGCCATTTCCTCAGTTCAGCATGTACCTATGATCAGAAAGGTTTCCTTGCTGTTAGACTTGCAGCAACACGGAGCATTAGATAGCATCATGTTGTTATCAGAATTTGCACTAGTGATTGCCAATAGTATGCCGTGTGTGTGTGTGTGTGTGTGTGAGAGAGAGAGAGAGAGAGAGAGAGAGGAGACAGCCAGCAGATAAAAATAACTCTAGATCAACATGGATAGCTTAACAATCAATTAACATAAATAAACATCACAGAATATCTGTTAGTAGATTTGAGATATTGATATTTTGCGACTTTCATGTGTAATATGAACATAAAGGATGAATGAAGCCCAACTTACTTCCTGAGCCTGAGCAGGAGTTGCAACCTTCCCCGTTCCAATAGCCCAAACAGGTTCATAAGCCAAAACAACATTAGTCCAATCGGAAATCCGTGCTGCAATATGAAACAAATGAAATTTAAGGTAATGACTTTTATGTCAGTTTTTGCCAAAAAAGTAAAAAAAAAAAGGAGAGAGAAGGGGTTTGAGAGTCCATAATGGATGCCCGAAAAATAAGAAAACAGGGCAATAAATAAAATACACGTGAAATCTAAGATATTTTGATATACATCAATAATTCATTACAATTCCACTGGATGTACAGAAAAATACAAGAAGATCCAATATGTCAATGCTTGTGTAATATTCATATTTCATTTTTATTTTTTTTCATGGGAGATTGGGGATGGGATGGAGAGGGTGAACTAGAACCAACTGTTCTGTCATTACTGCCATCCTTGCTAAACCAGGAATAGAGAGCAATTAACAATGGCATCAAATCACCACGATCTCAATAAATATTATGAAAAAGAAAACAAAGAGATGATCTGAATTTAGAAAATTTTGAGTGACCCTAAAAATAAAATACTGGTTACTGGTAAGGCAAAGGTATATCTCATGTCCATAATACAGGACAGCTAAAAACTTATGATAGGAACAATGAGAGTGGGAAGTGCAAATTAGCAAGCAAATAATTAAGAAGAGTTGAATTTTGCACATAAGAGTGACTACGTACCAGCAATAGCCTTTGTTTGTGCAGCAACAACATCCATAGTTGATCCTGCTTCTCTCTGCTCAAGAGTCTCACCAATACAAGCAATGACCTTCAGACCTTTGGAAAGAGCATATGCAACTTTCTCTCCAACGAACTGAAATCAAAACAGCAGTAAGATAATCAATCAATATGTAGAATTTCATATTGAAAAGGAAATATAACTCGACTGTAAGTACCTCGTTTGATTCGCTTAACAAAGCCCTCCTCTCTGAGTGACCCAGAATCACCCAAGGAATGTCCAAATTGACGAGCATCTCAGCACTACACACAAAGAAGAGCCATCAACTTAATTTTGTAAAATTCCCAATTATTAGACTGATCCACTATCAATGATGCCTCATCCAGAATAAAAATTTGAAGAACGTTGTACAACAAAGCACGAGGTACATTGTAAGAACTTGCAGAATGAGGAAAGAAGGCCTCTCAGAGTTCAAACATGAAAAATAGTTTATCCAATTCTACGTGCTTTACCAAATCAGAAAGCAGTATTTTTAAATGCTAAATATGTTGATTGCTAAGACATGCAATTTAAAGACTTGAAACATCAATATAAGAAGGCATACCTAATCTCACCGGTGTAAGCACCCCCTTTCTTTACCCAACAATTTTGGGCTGCTACATGGAAATCTGGTCGCAGTGAACTTTTAACCACTGGAAGAAACACGAATGGAGGGCTGACAACAACCTCTGCAAGAATAAATAATTGAAAACAGTCAAAACATCAAATAGTAAGAAGATTTCCTTTGCAAGAATAATAGATGTTTCTCGTTCAAAAAGTACGATGGAAGAGTTCAATTATAGATTTGTCACGCAGAATTCTGAGTATATAATTGCATTTTAGAAAAAATATGAAACATTCCTATTCTTCAAGTCAAATTCTAGAGCCCAAGTTTTACACAAAAAAAAAGTCAGTAACAGTATTTACACTGATGTTCCATCCTAAGAGTTCAATGGAAAGACTAAATTTCTAGTGAGTAAATTTAACCAATAATCACTGAACTTTACACTTGATTACTACTTGCTCACTCATCTTTCACATATTACTGAATGCTCACTCATCTTTTCATATAATTACTCATTCATCACTCGTCTCTTCAAATAATTGGGCGACTTTTACGGCAAATTTTCGACAACTCCGACCACAAAAAATGTCGAATTTTGATATCGTTGGAAAGCCCACGATGTCCTCTTCAATTACCACCCAAAATCTCATTATAATTCCAAGGGATTCGATCGAAAAATTGCCTTAAAAGTTGCCCAAAATTTTTGAAAATCTGCCCAGATTTTCAGATTTTTTGACGACTTTTAAGGCAATTTTTCGGCAACTTTCGACCATCAAAACTATCGAATTTTGATACCATTGGAAAGCCCACAATGTCATCTTCAATTACCATCCAAAATTTTCCCATAACTTCAAAGGGTTCGATCGGAATAAACCAACAAAATCAGCACCTTGAAAAGGCGAAAATCTGGACAAAATTCGGGATGCTGACTTTGTGAGTTTATTCCGATCGAATCCTTTGGAGTTATCGGGAAATTTTGGATGGTAATTGAAGAGGACATTGTGGGCTTTCCAATGGTATCAAAATTAGATAGTTTTGATGGTCGAAAGTTGCCAAAAAATTGCCTTAAAAGTCGCCCAAAAATTTATTCAAATTTCTAGTTGAATTTTAATTTTACTTACCTTCGGATGAAGTATTCAAGATTCAAAAGAAAGAACCCAATGAACTTTAGAGAGAAGAAAAAATGATGGGTGATTTGTGTGGTGAAATGGAAAAGTAAAGAAGCTGTAACGTGTAAAAATGGAGAAAAAAATAAATAGGGCTCTACATGAATTGAGGAAAAGAAAAAATGTCACAAAAATAATTGAAGACAAATGACGTCGCTTTTGTTCACTCGATGAAAAAAAAAAATTGTTATAGTGTGATAAAATGAAAGAATTTACTTTTCTGACTATAGCACCTTTCCATTCTCTTCTTTACGTAGTAGTGATATATAGGTACGTACTATGTTTAAGTGAGTAAATTTAACCAATAATCACTGAACTTTACACTTGATTACTACTTGCTCACTCATCTTTCACATATTACTGAATGCTCAATAATATATGTTCTTTAATCATGAGCTAAACGAATACTATAGAGAATAGACAGGTCCCATGAGAAAGAAAAGCAATACTAAATTATTTCAAGAGTAAAGGTTCTGAAACTCAGGCACACGCAAATGCACCAGATTATAGTTCAATTAGAGCATAATATCATAATTTGCAAACTATAATCAATTATAATTCATCACAAAACACAGAAAGGTCTCATACAGACTAATAGTTCATTTTTATTCATAAAGGCATAAGAAGAGAGTTGCGACTTTGTCAGTAATTTCTTTTTCTTTTTCCTTTTTTTTT